TAGAGGTCAACAAAGGGCTCGAAACTGATACTGCCCCAGTTGTTGTCATAGCTCACGACGAGCCGGAAGCCGAAGATTACCCTGCTGAGTCTGCTGAAGATCCCCCCCAAACGGACGAAGAGTGCGACAATGAACAACAACAAGAGCGCTACGACCATGTACCGGTACATGCGGAAGGCGAAGATGGCCCTAATGAGTCTGCTGAGGATTCACACCATGCGGAAGAGGAGGCCGCAGAGAGCGACAATGAACAGCACGAAGAGTACGATACTGGTCTCGAGAAGATACCTTCCGCTGATAGCTTTGTCCTCCAGCCCAAAGACTCGGATGATGACGCTGCAACCGTGTCCCTGACAGAACCTGACGACGAGCGAAAGAACGATAGCCTCGACTTGGAAACAGCTTCCTTGCATGACGTACCAGTGAGACTTGGCATGGACTTTAACTGTCATGCCTCCTTTGCCAGTGTTCGCAGCCTTGACCGTGAGCGATATGAATGGAAGCCCGAGTGGACCACCAATACTTCCTTGTTGAAAAAGACTCTCAATGGAAGTGTCATCAAGAAGGGGGTCTGCCTGCAATCACCCATCACTCATATCGCCAAAGATGCACACCGCCATCGCAACCAGGTTGCCAATCGCAGTGTTCTGATGCGCAGGAGCGTCTCTCATTCTGGTACTTCCTCTCCTTTTGCTGGTAGCAACGAGAAACCACAGCAGTCACGTGGAGTAAAGCCCAAGTTCCCCCACAACTCTACGCGAATTGTAAACTCGGGTGTCAAGGAGATTCGAATCGTCAGCATTGTCGAGAAAGAAAAGCAACCAGGCATAGGTGGTTCCAAACAGTCCTTCCCTTCCGCATCCTCCCAAAATGCCTCCTCTTCCAATAAGCAACCATCCTGGATGGTGAAGCCTGGTTTGAAACCCGCTCAAACCTCAGGCAATCACCTTCCCCGTGACAAGGATTCCATCCGGGTTGTCGGTTAGACTGACAGCGCCAAGTTTGAATTACCCATCCATCTCTCCCTCCTTTCCCGTCCCATGAGCCACACCAAAATACTGACTGCGGCTGACACGTCACGCCATGACCCAAAGTGACAAGGCGATTTTCCCAGTTTCATTCCCAACGAGCCACACTTGAGTATTGCGGCTGATATGTAGCAAAACGCGTTTGCATTGTTTAGATTACTTGAATTATTAATTGAACATTACCTCTTGTCTACTCCGTGCCTACTGTGTCTCGACACTTTTGATTCATTCAGAACGAAGCATCTTACTAGTAGACTGTTCTTAGGACACTGAACAGAACAATCAGAAAAGAAAGCGATCCAAGGAGGCTTCTTCAGTCATGTGAAGGATGTGGTCACTTTCAAATCCTCTAGCCATGATAGGCAAAAGAAAGGACGAAACACCGGCCAGCCCAGCCCGGCTCAGTGTGGAGCTCTTTTCAGGCAAAACAGGGCTTCCTGCTTCCACCAAGAGAAGGCGCAACTGCCGTACGCCAATGGAACGGTGACGGAACAGAATTCAAAGGCTGCCAGCAATATCTCAACATCGAAAGCAGCCAGAACCATTCAGAGTCCAAAATTCCGAGACATATGTAATGGTAGAACCAATGCTCATGTCCTTGTTGTTTTTCCAATCATGCTGTCCCAATCCATCACCTGCCCTCCCATCATGGCTACCATGGTGGCAATAAGGCGCGAGTATCCACCCGTGGATCTCATAAAGAGCTTTGCATGACTCATAAAGTAAAAATCCTGATCCGCGTCACCACTATCCGTTTGCAATTCTACCTGTTTCCCTGCCATGGCCAGAGCTCTAGACAAGCAGGTGGCATACACTCGACTGTTCTTGTACATGTCTGGAAGGTGAGACCCCCCCACGAGAACTACCTTGGTGGCATTGGTCGTGTCAATGGCATCCAAATACTCGTGTACGGAAAAAATGGTGTGAAACATTTTGAACCCATTGTGTTTCGCAGAACCACCATGTTTCAACAGCTTGTCGGGTCTCAAAAACTCTACTGGTTCTTGATCTCGTTTTCGTCGTTTTTTGTTTTCCATGACATCCCCCAATCGCAAATGAACGACCAGAGCGTCTGTATCTGGTTTGCGAAATCCTGGACGGGATCCAAATATTTGAAACATGTCAATGATGGCAGCCGTGGCAGCTGTCGCATTGAATGCAGAACCATCATTGGGATTGTTGCCATCGGATCGACAGTGTAAGTGACCGTAATATCCCGCCATGGTGGCGTTGAACGGTTCGCCCACGTCGGTGGCGGTGTGATTTTTGTGCCCTTGAGGAGCGGAACACCTGGTATTGCAGAATTTGATGCAATCTCCCAAGGCATAATTGATCCGTTTTGTGGGGAATGGCTTCATGATGGATTCGTCCTTGGCAATTGCACTGGCGCAACCCTGCAGCCAACCGGCACTGGGGCGATGGTGGGGTAGTTCTGTGTAATCTTGCAAGGTCAATTGTGGATAAAAGGTATTTGGCTCAAAGGAACCCCCAATTTTTTGAAGAACAGTGTGTTGGGATGTTCCACTCTCTTCTTGTGCAGATTGTTGTGCAGTAGCTGTCACCGTGTCTTCTGCTGTTAGTTGCTGAGTTGGGCTTGTGCTAATTTGTTCCGAGGCCGCATTTTCTTCTTGGGTAGCAATTATTCCCTCCAGAGAACTTGGCTTGCTCTTATCTTCAGTACTTCTAGGCACAGTTTCTTCCTCTTCCAGGTCTACTCTGGTTGTTTGTCTTGTGGGTAGCATGCCGCTTGGATGCATGTTGGAGACCAGTGTTTCCAGAGACTCTCGCAGTGACTTGAATTCCTGTGACAAGTGGCACTGTTGCCGTTGTCCTTGTTGCTCCAAACGTTCCAATTTTCGCAATATTTCACGCAGTAGATTTTCTTCCTGACTGTTATATTTGGGAGATAAACTCGTGGGAGCCATCACTTCATTTTCACAGGTGGTGTATGGTGGACCTTGAAATCCCACAGTTTGCAACAATATAAAGGCCGACACCATTCCAATAGAGACAAACACAAGGGCATACCGGAATACCATGGGTGGCGAGGACGCCGAAGGATAACAAGCGGTGTCAGAGGGGCGGGGAGAGAAGCGATCTCTCGACTTGTTCATGGTCAGATTGACTTTTGCATCGGGGTCCAGCAACAAAAGAAAACAAACGCGATACCATGGATGCGGAAGCGATGACCGTCTCGTAGAACATTCGATTCTATTCTTGTCTGCATCTTGCTTCCGACTTGGACAAGAGGTCACTGTGACTGAAACGACCGTTATAGAGATCACGTTATCGCCGTCATTGAGCAATCTTGCCCAAGATATCGCGCTTCCCACAGGCCCAAAAGATACACGCCGAAACTCTGTGCATAATTTCGATCCAGGCAATTTGTTTCTAAAGAATACCCCTCTGCTCTATCTCATCAACCAAAGAAGACAACACCATGACAGACGAAAATGAACCAACCCCTGTCACTGACGGAGAAGAATACGAAGAAGAAGAGGTAAGTTCCAGGAGTGTTCCAGGGTATTTTGGTGTATTCGTTTTTTGTAGAATATTCTCACACATCGCTCTATTTTTTCTGTGCATGTAGGTTGTGGAAGACGAAGTGGAAGAAGAGGTTGTGGAGGAGGAAGAAGAAGTAGAGGAGGAAGTGGTGGAGGAGGAGGAAGAAGAGGAAGAGGTTGTCGAGGAGGAACCGGCTGCTGCCCCAGCCCCACCACCGCCTGCTGCTCAACCCAGATCATCTGATGCAGATGATACGGAAATCAACCCTCACGAGTGGAGCAAACCAGATTGGACCAAAAAGCCAGTTTTGAAAGAATCTGAGGTCGGAGAAGCGGCCAAGTCTGGAATGAACTTGGCTGCCGAGATTACACATGTCAACAAGGAGAAAGATGAAGGACGTGATGTCAACTACGACGCGAATCCGCTCTATCTAAAGTCCACCGACAAGGGAAGTGAAGCCCGTGCTACAGGAGATTTGCAAGCTCCCATTACTAACATTAGGGAAACCGGAGATGACAAGTTGGCCTGGCAGAAACCAGACTGGGCCAAGAAAGGACCCAATCTCAAGGGAACCGGAAAGGATGCTGCGGCAGATTTGCAAAAACCCATTACTAACATTGCCGATGAAGCAGAAGGCGACGACAAACTGGCCTGGAAGAAACCAGATTGGGCAAAAAAAGGACCAGGCTTGAAGAGCACTGGAAAGGGAGGACAGACTGATCTACAGACTCCTATCACCAACATCAGTGAGGTGGCCGAAGGAGATGACAAGCTTGCCTGGAAGAAACCAGACTGGGCCACAGGTGGCCCGAAACTAAAGTCTACGGCGAAGGGTAAGTTTTGCCACTTCTATTTCTTGCGATGGATTGGTTTTTAATGAGTGTTGCCGTGGAATTATCTCACCATTCTGCACCAATCCATGACACAGGGGAAAAACTGAAGGAAAAAGGAAACTTGGAGAGGCCCATCACCTTCCCGTAAGTTGGAAGACCAGAAGAAACGATGTACAGTTTAACTTTTTTGAACTGTTTCTAACCATCTTTGTCTTCTTCTCATTCTGCAGGAAAGGGAAGAACTAGAGGGGTCCACTGCATTGTTGTTCACCTTCTTTGATCTGAGACTTGACGCCGCAGAATTATACAAATGGATGTACCGGCCAACGGTTTAGCTTATTCCAACCAATTAACATAGAACTGGATTGATTTTTCACATCTAGGACTTGTCTATCTTCTCTGTCCTCACAGTTGGGGCCTACATGCCACCGCCGAGTATTCACTAGTTTCAGGGCTTGTTGAGCATGCACCAAACTGAAGCATCCTTGTGGCAGATGGAGTTTCTATCGGAACGCTGTCTTGGGATAAAAGGAACAGAATAACTACCGACACACGGAGAGATGAGATGCCACCAACCGAAACTGACTTGGGGGGAGGGAGGCGCCACTCAAGGAAACTGCAGTTTGCAACCTCGAGAGTTGGCAACCGAGTAGGATTCCGTCCATTTATTTTGAAGGCTATCACTCAACAGAGATTTCCAAGAAAACAGGAGCTACTGGTACCAAATATTCGACAGGTTGAAAGTTTGGAAAGGTGAGAATCTGACAGGAGACTTTCACTGACACAGCTCGCGTTTTGATCTGGAATATAAATACTACATTTGAACACAGGATGAAGACCAAAATGATCTAATGCTACGGCAAGTGCTGCTTGGTTTCTTCTATCCAAACTGCTTTGTTTTCTCGTGTTTCGATTAGCGCGGATTGTGACGGTGACATGGAAATAGCCCTTTGGGAGCCCAGACTCGAGCTGAGAATTGAAAAAATCATAGGAATTCGTTTTGCCAGGTTTTAAGCAAGCAAACGTAGACCTGTGGAGCTGTCCGTGGTAATTCACACAGGAGGCACGGTTCCTGGTCTGGTAGCAACGAGTCTCTCAAGGGGTATGATTTGGCGTCATGCCGGCACCATGTGAAAGGCAGCGAATGCAGATTGTCGAGGCTGTGTGAAATCTACCAGTCTGCTGTGTTTCTGAGCCTCCTCGTCGAATACTCGCCAGGATGGGAAAGCAAGAGGCCATGTCCGGTCACACGAGACAGGACAATCCCAAGCATTCAAAACTTTCAACGCCATGTTCATTGTCTTAAAAGAATTTTTCAGTGAAAGCAAACCCAGAAGGGC